AGTGTGCACGTGCCCTATAGCGAAAACTTCTCAAAAAAAAAAAATCACTATTGTGACATCTTCTATATCTAATGGATAACAAGACTACATTTTCTGGGGTTTTGTTGTTATTGCTAATTTATCTTAGAACTAATGCCAGGCCTCAAATCACTTTACTCTCATGTTCATTAATATACATCTCTAAAATACCTAGGCATTATCTGACCAATGCTCAATGTCATTGTTACTCCTAAAGAAATTAATGCTATTTTACTGGTGTCATCTTGATATCCTGTCTGGTTTCATATTTACAAGATTTTCTCGAAAAAACCTTTTTGTAATTAGTTCAAATAATGATCCAAATATGGTCCCACATTACAACATTACTTTTTCTTTAAGGTTTCTGCTATAGGACATGTGCACTTGCCAGAGAGACCATGCTACAATCCCTTCTCCTCTATTATCCTCTGTATACCTCCTGGGATTTTTGACATGCATGCACACATGCCCAGTGTGATTTTTCCAGCTTCCAGGTCTAGACTTGAACCATGGTTGGCCATGTGGGAGTCCAGTGTCTTAGCCACCATACCACCTGCTGGCCTACAAGGTTACGTTTTTTGTTTGTTTTTTTCTTTTTTTCTTTCTTTTCTTTCTTCTTTCATGAGAGAGAGAGAGAGAGAGAGACAGAGAAAGACAAGCATCCTAAGCAGGGTCTCACACCATATTTTCCCCAGGCCTTCTCAACCAGCCAGGATAATGCCACTCATGGCACATGCCCAGCATATACAAGCTAATCAATGAATTGAAACCCCAATCTTCCATATAGCTCTAGCATCACAGAGGTGCTGAGCTTCACACTACTGCTACACCACCACAGCTAAGCCTCAACACTTAGTATAATAGCAAAAAACTGGAAGTGGCCAAAATGTCCCATGAAAGAAAACATTAATTATGAGAACATCATAAAACAGTAGTTATCTCTGTAATAGTAGTGTGGATGATGTGTTTTATCGTCTTTATACTTTTCAGTCTTTTCCCAGTTCTCTGTATGAGATTTAGAGGGAAAAAGTAATTTTTTTAAATTTCCAGAGGGCATATATACTTGCCAGAGAGAAATAGAGAGAGAAAGAGCCCCCCAGTGGGGAATGGTTACATCGCAACCCCTTCTCCTTTGTCTTGTTGGTGTTTGGGGCACGTAGACACATGTGCCCTGCATGTTTTCTCAAACCTCCAGGGCTGGGATTCAGACTGCATTCAGCCATGTGGGATCCAGCTCCCTTTAATCACTAGATCATAGGCTGGTCCTAAAATCTTTATTTTAGAATTTTGCTGCAGGGTGCATGCATTTGCTAGAGAGATTGAAAGTGAGGAAGCACCCTCCAGGGAAGATGGCCACTGCACAATTCCTTCTCCTTCACTCTCTCAGGATTTGGGGCTTGCATGCACACACAACCAGTGTATTTTTCAAGCTACAGATCAGGACTTGAACCACATAATTAGCCATATAGGATCTAGCTGCCTTAACCACACCACCACCTGCCTGGTCCCTAAAAACCATTTTTGAAGAAAATATTGTTAACTCTTTCAGTGGCTTTACGGCATTTGAATTCTGTATCTCACTCTCACTTTACCCTTTTTCTTAATGACCCATCTTTGATGTCATTGTTCCTTGTTTATCCTACTTTTTCTAGGTCCGAGCTCATCAGCTGGTTCTTCCTCCTTGTGATGTGGTGATCAAGGCTGTTTCTGAGTATGTTAGTTCTATCAAAGACCCCTCAAACTTGGATGTAGTTGGGAAGGATGTTTTCAAACAGTCTCAGGTGAGCTCTCTTTCTCCTTCCTAAGAATAACCAGTTTTCTTATCTTCTCCAGCAACATCAACAAGTCTGATTTTTTTTGTGGCAAGTAGCTTCTCTCCTCCTAGCTGCTTGTCTTCATTATGCTTACTGACTCATTCCCAAAAGTTTCCTTTAAAAAAACATTACCAGGCCTGGATTGAAAGAGGTCTTTACGTTTTTTCTTCTGATAATTCATACCACCCCATTCTAGAAAGTTAAGGAAACCAGTCACCTAAAATCTTAGTACCCAGAAACCGCTTACTACAGTGAACCCTCTGGCATGGGTCTTTCTAGTCCTTTTTTTTTTTTTCCAGTTTGCTGGAGGGCACATATGCTCAACCAGAGAGAAAGAGAGAGGAGAGAGAGAAAATGGCATGGTCATGCTGCAATCCCTTGTCCTCTCTTTTTCCTTTTTGGATTTTTGGGCATGCAAGCCCACATGCCCTACATGTCTTTCAAGGTCCTAGTTCCAGCACTTGAACTGCATGCAGACACATGGGATCCAGCTGCCTTAACCACAGTGCCACTGGCTGTCCTTTAGTCCTTTTTTAATTTGATGTATATTTTAATATAAAGATCTCTCTTAGTAGAGAATTAGTAATTTATTTGCTATAGGGCATATGGAGAGAGACGCAGAGAGAGAGAGAAAAGATGAGAAATCACTCCACCCCCTAGGCGATGGCCATGCTGCGGTGCCCTCTCCTCTCCCGAGAGAACTCGGGATTTTGGGTGTACATGCACATTAGGCCAGCATGTTTTTTAAGCCTTCCAGTCTATAGCTATGAACTGCATAGTCAGCTGTGTGGGGTCTAGCTTCCTTCATCATACCACTGGCTAGTGCCTCAATTAGGATTATATACTACCAAATTCAACTAAAAATGATAAAAATAAATTAGTTTTATTTTTAACAAGTTGATTTATACTTAGAAGTTTTGAGTTTTTACTTTTATTTTTAAAAATTAACATTTAGTTAAACTAACCTTTGTGTGTGAGTGTACAGTTCTGTACATTTTTAAAATGTGTAGAGTTATGTAACCAATATCACAATCAGGATACAGAACAGTTAAACCACTGTGAAAAACTCATACTATTCCTTTGTAATAAAACCCAAACCCATCCCTAAACCTCCAGCAACCACCAGTCTATTCTGTATCACTGGAGTTGCATCTTCTAGAGAATATCAAATGAATAGAATCAGCTAGTATGCAATCTTTTGAGAATGGCATCTTTCATTCAACATAATACCTTTGAGATTCTTCAGAGTTGATGCCTGTTAACATGTATCAGTAATTCATTCTTTTTTATTGCTGAATACAATATCCATTGTATTCCCTGTATACCACAGTTTATTCCCTGTATACTACAGTAATATTCATTGTATTCCTTGTATACCAAGTATTGGTGGTTATAAATAGAGTTTCAGTAAACATTTGTGTATAGGTTTTTATATGAACATAAATTTTCATTTCCCTAGTTTAAATATGTAGGAGTAAAATTTATGGGTCACATAGTAAGTGTATGCTTAAATTTTTAAGACTCTGCCAATTCATTTTCCAGAGTAGTTGTTTCATTACTTATTGGGCAGTTGGTATTCTCAGTATTTTTTATAGTGATTTTTATGTCTTTAATTAATTAACCATTGGGTCATCAGGAAAGTCATGACATGTTTTTCTATGCAAAAATGAATCATGACTTTTCCGACAACCTAATCATCTTTTTTACCTTTTACCTTTATTTAAGATAGAGCATGTATAGGTGCAACAGAAAGACAGAGAAAGAGAAAGGAGTATCCTTCACAGTGTCTGTTCAGTCTGCAATTCCTTTTCTCCAGTACTCCAGTCTGTTGAATTTTGGACACTTGCATATGTGTCTAGCATGTTTCAGGTGGACTAGGCCTAGGATTTGAGTTGTGATCACCATGTGGCTTCTAGTATTATAGTCAATTTGTTACCATTTGCATCAGTATGACTGGGCCATACAATTGTTTTTAATTAATATTGTTTATATTGGATTCTTGTGGCCACAAACTTCCTGAGCCCCTTGGTCATCCTGACCCCGGCCTGGGCCACGCTGCCCACTGCCAGCAGCCAGAGGGCCTCTCACCCCTTTTGAGATGCCAGGAAACTGAGGTGGGACCTAGCACTCCTTCCCTCTCCCTTGCTGGTAGCTCCTAGGTGGGTCTGTCACCCTTTCAGGTCTCAGTTCACTCCTCCCACACCATGGTAGAAGAGGGCAATTGTAGAAGGGTCCACTAAATCCCTCTGGGGCATAAATGAGAAACCCTTGGCGGTTCCTCCCAGTCTAACCCCCTCCCAGGAACTCCCATTGCTGGAGGGTGGACAAGGGCACTGGGGCAGGCTCAGGCTCCTCAGAGGAGGGGCTGCTGGAGCTGGGGCATTGATGCATGAGTAGTTTTCTAATCCAGAAAAGAATCAAGTTCTTGGTAGAAAAAAGGTGCAAAGTCCTGGAGGGATGGTCTGCGGTTGTGAGCTTGCAGAAATTAGATCAGCTAGGGAAGGAGAGGTACAGGAAAAGGGTCTTTGAATTCAGGGTTAAGGATTGCTAGGGAAACAGGGAGGTGGTGGAACAGCAGAAGGGCAAATTTAGAGCCACCATAAGAGCAGGAA